GTATAAATCCAGGGTAGTGGGTTTAATATCCGGTGGTTGTTTAATTCCTGGGTGGCTAATTATCCCCGGTGGTGGTTAATTTTGTCCCCAGGATGCAACCCGGCTACACTTGACTGACACCCAAGTAACTACTTACTGCCTAAGTGAAACAGTGGCAGCAGAGAGTAGAAGTAGAGTGTTAGAGAGTAACAGTGAGAGATGGATTGAGTTTAAGAGAGAGATGGAGACGCAGGTATGAGAGAGAGAGGGTACGCTCAGATTACAGGTTAGAGTGTAGGCCAGTTGAAGGAGGAGATTGAGGAGAGCAGAGAGAGAGAGACAGAATTCATGATGACAGGAGCTGAGTATGTCACTTAGGTTTCCTCCTGTATTAATTGTCTGGATGGTACCGCTGTTTCCGAGGTCAACAGCTCTCTATACTAGCAGAGGACCTAGTTTTACATAGATAATGAATCCATCATATAATAGTACCCATAATAACTGCAATAATAATACCCATAATTACTATACATTAACGATAATAATATATAATAACTGATAATAATATACAATAACGATAATCTATAATATGCAATAACGATAATACTAATATATAATAATAATAATAATAATAATAATAATAATAATAATAATAATACAGACCTTGAGTAACTGTGGGTTACAGGAGGTATTAATGACGTCGCGGATTTGGGCGTAAGTCCAGTGGGAGAGATCTAAGGGTTGTCCTGCCTCCCCCTTCCCTTTACCACCCCCTACCTGCTGCCTGGTGGTGGGGGGATGAACAGGAGACACAGTCAGGTGTAGTTTGTTTTATTGTTCAGTTTACAGGCTGAGATGTGTTATCCTGCCTCAGTTTATTTACAGGTTGAGATGTGTTATCCTGCCTCAGTTTATTTACAGGTTGAGATGTGTTATCTGCACTCAGTTTATTTACAGGTTGAGATGTGTTATCCTGCCTCAGTTTATTTACAGGCTGAGATGTGTTATCCTGCCTCAGTTTATTTACAGGCTGAGATGTGTTATCCTGCCTCAGTTTATTTACAGGTTGAGATGTGTTATCCTGCCTCAGTTTATTTACAGGTTGAGATGTGTTATCCTGCCTCAGTTTATTTACAGGCTGAGATGTGTTATCCTGCCTCAGTTTATTTACAGGCTGAGATGTGTTATCCTGCCTCAGTTTATTTACAGGCTGAGATGTGTTATCCTGCCTCAGTTTATTTACAGCTGAGATGTGTTATCCTGCCTCAGTTATTTACAGGTTGAGATGTGTTATCCTGCCTCAGTTTTATTTACAGGTTGAGATGTGTTATCCTGCCTCAGTTTATTTACAGGTTGAGATGTGTTATCCTGCCTCAGTTTATTTACAGGTTGAGATGTGTTATCCTGCCTCAGTTTATTTACAGGCTGAGATGTGTTATCCTGCCTCAGTTTATTTACAGGTTGAGATGTGTTATCCTGCCTCAGTTTATTTACAGGCTTTAGATGTGTTATCCTGCCTCAGTTTATTTACAGGTTGAGATGTGTTATCCTGCCTCAGTTTATTTACAGGTTTAGATGTGTTATCCTGCCTCAGTTTATTTACAGGTTGAGATGTGTTATCCTGCCTCAGTTTATTTACAGGCTGAGATGTGTTATCCTGCCTCAGTTTATTTACAGGTTGAGATGTGTTATCCTGCCTCAGTTTATTTACAGGCTGAGATGTGTTATCCTGCCTCAATTTATTTACAGGTTGAGATGTGTTATCCTGCCTCAGTTTATTTACAGGCTGAGATGTGTTATCCTGCCTCATTTATTTACAGGCTGAGATGTGTTATCCTGCCTCAGTTTATTTACAGGCTGAGATGTGTTATCCTGCCTCAGTTTATTTACAGGCTATTTTCAGAGAAAGTTTATCTGCCTCAGTTTATTTACAGGTTAGATGTGTTATCCTGCCTCAGTTTATTTACAGGCTGAGATGTTTATCTGCCTCAATTTATTTACAGGGTGATGTGTTTTCCTGCCTCAATTTATTTACAGGCTGAGATGTGTTATCCTTTGCCTCAATTTTTTTACAGGCTATTTACAAAAAAAAGCATATTAATAAAATTACAAAACTGCTCATAATTTCCGACAAGAGCGACAGAAGGATGCACTAACCTTTTGATTACCAGGTTGTCGTGAGGCGTCATTAGAGAGTTTGTAAGGATCACGTTTAGCTTTCACAGCTAATTCTAAATCTCCTCCTCCTGTTTTATCTGCTTCTGATGTTCTTCCTTCATTCTTTGTTGTTTCTCCTCTTCTCTTCCAATTTCCTGCTGCTGGCTGATGCTGATGTGTCTCTATCCTATCCATCAGTTACCTCACCCTTGAGAAAAGTTGTTCTTGAACCTAAGTTTCCAGGGTTTAAAATGTTGGCAACACAGAAGCACACGATTAATAAAAGTCATTAAATCATAGCGTAATTTTTAAGAGGTAGAAGTAAGCCAGGGATGGCCTCGGTCAGATTGTCAACAAATCCAGCTGTGGGTCTCATTGGACTAAGGACCAACGGTACAGGAAAACTTATTATGTTTCTGTTACGAATTTGGCTAAGTAACAAGTAAGTTTCATCTCCCCCCCCATGGGGGGGTGGCCTGTGGTTTTATCGCTCTCGCTTCACACGGTGAGCGGCCTAGGTTCGGTTATTGGCCAGAGTAGAACACTTGGACGTTTTCTTTCATAATGTTGTCTATGTTTCCCATCAGTAAAATGGGTACCTGGGTGTTAGTCGACTGTAGTGTGGGTCGCACCTGGGACATTTTGTTTACCTAAGGAGGCTGTAACAAGACCGGTCCGCGGGGGCAGTTGACACCCGGAATACTCTCAGGTAATGACTCCCCAGGTATGGTGAGGGGGAAGTCTTGATCTAAGCAATTAAACCTATGCTTCAGTTCGTTGGCTCGAGCCTGAATGCCTTCCCTTCCCCAGGTACTGGTAAGACACCACCGGGTTTAGTGCACCCCCCTTGAATGTAATAATAATTACAATAATAATAATAATTGCCAGGTTTAATTAAGTTGGGTAAGGGTTGTCTGGAAACAAAACAACTGGATCTTTTGGTCATCTGACCAAGGCATTCCGCTGGCTTACCAACCCACTCCTCTAAAAATCATGGTTATAATTATAAGCTACTGAGTCCTGTAGCGAGGATAAAAACAGGCAACATTACTACCTCGGAGATAATGACTCTCATTCGTTCTCACAGGGGGGTGGAGTCAAGCACACGTTCTCACAGGGGGGTGGAGTCAAGCACACGTTCTCACGGGGGGTGGAGTCAAGCACACGTTCTCACAGGGGGGTGGAGTCAAGCACACGTTCTCACAGGGGGGTGGAGTCAAGCACACGTTCTCACAGGGGGGTGGAGTCAAGCACACGTTCTCACAGGGGGGGTGGAGTCAAGCACACGTTCTCACGGGGGGGGTGAAGCAACGTTCTCGGGGGTGGAGTCAAGCCACACGTTCTCCCAGGGGGGTGGAGTCAAGCACACGTTCTCCCAGGGGGGTGGAGTCAAGCACACATCCCATTGGTTGAAAATACCGTATTCGTTCATCGCATCGTTGTCTCGCCAGACGAGTGCTATTTCTACTATTGAAATTAAGAAATTTTACTATGTAAAAAGGGGTTTAGAGATGTTAAACATATATACATATATCAATAACAACACTGCGCTAGACGAGGATTCTAACCCATGTTGTACTGGCCCACCATTGTGAGCGAGAACCACACGACGCCTTAACCCACAGGACCACCTAACATGGGCTCGAACCCTTGGCTAGCGCAGTGTTGTTATTGATCAAAAACCACTCGTTCGTGGTTACAATATTTATATATTATATATTTATATTATATATTATAAAATATATATATATATTTATATATATATTATATATATATATATATAATATTTTTTTGTCGTGCCGAATAGGCAGAACTTGCGATCTTGGCTTAAATAGCAACGCTCATCTTGCCATATAGGACAAGCGAAAATTTGTTATGCAATAATTTCGCAAAAATCATCGTAAACATAACGAAAAAAATATATTTCATGGTGTTTGTTTAGTATTAAATTACTGTAAACGTATTTAAAATATATTTAGTAGGATTAGGCCAAAATAAATTGCGCTTCATATAATAAGGTTAGGTAAGTTTTCTAAGATTCTTTTTGTGCAAAATTTAAATTTTTTACATTAACATTATTGAAAAAAAATATATCTTTAAACGTCTAAGAGAAATTTTCAGAAAGGACTTAATTTTAGATGACTTTTTGCTAATTGACCAGTTTTACATATTCGGCACGACATATATATATATATGTCGTGCCGAATAGGCAGAATTTGCGATCTTGGCCTAAATAGCAACGATCATCTTGCCATATAGGACAAGTGAAAATTTGTGTATGCAATAATTTCGCCAAAATCATTTTGAACTTAACGATAAAAATATATTTCACTGTGTTTGTTTAGTATTAAATTACTGTAAACAAATCTAAAATATATTTAGTTGGGTTAGGCTAAAATAAATTGTTCTTGTTATATAATAAGGTTAGGTAAGTTTTCTAAGATTCTTTTGTTGCAAAATTAAAATTTTTACATTAACATTAATGAAAAAAATTATCTTTAATCGTATAAGAGAAAATTTTCGAAAGGACTTTAATTTTAAATGAGTTCTTGCTAATTGACCAGTTTTACATATTCGGCACGACATATATATATATATATATATATATATATATATAATATATATATAATATATATAATATATATATATATATATATAAATTTGAGAATTCCTGAGGTAGAAAACTAATGGTGTTTTCAGAATCACAATGAGCCATTAGGGTCTGAGCTGCTTGAAAAATAGCCCAAAAAATGCCTTTATAGGCTAAAAGCGCTGTTGGAATACCCAAAGAATACTCCCCACCCCCCATCATCCTTCAACCTCCCTCATCTTCTCTACCTTCTCGCCCTTCCCCTCTGACCTACCTTAAGGAGGGGAGTGAGGTGGTGTAGGGCACAGGTGTGTCTGGCAGGTTCCTCGCATGTCCTACACCACATATCCTCCATGGTGTCCTCTGAAGGAGGCGCTGAAGGAGAGAGGAGCACCACTGTGTCCTGCTGGTAACAAGCTGATCCTTCCTGAGTTCCTACGGGCGAATGACTCGTGTGGGGAGGAGAAGGATGAGGAAGGAAGTAGCAAGGATCAGGAGGATAACCAGAAGGTCCTACTTCGGAAGTCTGTAGACTTGGGTATATTCGATTTTGAACGTCTGGCGGCTGTGTAGGAGTGGAAAGAGGAGGAGGAGGAAGAGAAGAGGGAGGAGGAGGAGGAAGAGAAGAGGGAGGAGGAGGAAGAGAAGAAGGAGGAGGAGGGGGAAGAGAAGAAGGAGGAGGGGGGAGAGAAGAAGAAGGAGGAGGAGAAGCAAGAGAAGAAGGAGGAAGAGGAGAGCGCCTCTGTCGCACTCGTACTTTGAAAACCAAACGATTGCGCTGAAGAGGACGACGAGTGTGAAACTGAGGAAGAGGAGGTTGTGGAGGAAGAGGAGAAGGAGGTAGAGGAGGCGGAGGAGGAAGAGGAGGTGGAGGAGGTGCCTTGTATTTTTTGTGCTGCTTTTTGTGCTGTAGCTTCTTGTGCTGTAGCATGGACGCCTGGCTCTGCTGCAGCGCCTTCAGCCGCGCCAGGTCCTTCAGGTGAGCCAACATGTACCTGCATACACACAAGAATTACTTTCTAGTCTGGTCCATAGCAGATTCTCTCTCTCTCCCCCCTCTCTCTCTCTCTCTCTCTCTCTCTCTACAAATTATATAATCTCTTGATCAATTAATAATTTTGCAGACATCTGATCATTTGTTTCCTCGTAAGAGAAAAAACCACATCACCTAAATGCTCGTCATTAAAAACCAGGACATTGTTTATCCTTCCAGAAGTGTAAATCACTTGCCTCTCGATTTGTCACTACTGTAAATCTTGGCTCTAAAGACATGATGTTTGGGGACAAGAAAGCATTATGTAAAACAATATTTATGAAGCTCAGCCCTGAGCGAAAAGTATTATCAGTAACACCTCGGTCAGCACACATGTTTAAATCGTGTCGTCATTAGTGAATTTTGTAACTGAGATCTAAGGTTAGTGCTGTAAACTGAAGCCCTTGCAGCTGGTCACTTTCGTAAACTTTAGTCTGTCAGGGAGGGAGAGACACACTCTCACCTGTTAGTTTGAATCCTGTCGGTATTGACAATCTCCCGACAGAGAGGACACATCATCAGCTTTCCCTTTGGTACTTGTAGCTTCTTGGCTCGTTGACGCTGGCCTCTGTGGCCCTCTTGACCGTCTTCCTGGGAGGACAGGAGGTCAAGCACGCAAATAACACAGAAGGTGTGAAGGCAAGGTGTCATCTTGGGTGTGTGGTTACCCTCGTCGTATTCTTCCATGCAGACGGGGCAGTCAAGACGATCCTGTAGAAGGAGAGCAAGTAAGAACTATATTATTAATATTCCCAGAGGGTTAATAACCCAAGATAACTCAAGATTCTTCAAGACTAGGGGACTGACCATCTTGCCAACTGAGGGACTGACTATCTTGCCAACTGAGGGACTGACCATCTTGCCAACTGAGGGACTGACTATCTTGCCAACTGAGGGACTGACTATCTTGCCAACTGAGGGACTGACCATCTTGCCAACTGAGGGACTGACCATCTTGCCAACTGAGGGACTGACTATCTTCCCAGCTGAGGGACTGCCAATCTTGCCAACTGAGGGACTGACAAACTTGCCAACTGAGGGACTGACTATCTTGCCAACTGAGGGACTGACCATCTTGCCAACTGAGGGACTGACCATCTTGCCAACTGAGGGACTGACTATCTTGCCAACTGAGGGACTGACTATCTTGCCAACTGAGGGACTGACTATCTTGCCAACTGAGGGACTGACCACCTTGCCAACTGAGGGACTGACTATCTTGCCAACTGAGGGACTGACCATCTTGCCAACTGAGGGACTGACTATCTTGCCAACTGAGGGACTGACATCTTGCCAACTGAGGGGACGGGACTATCTTGCCAACTGGGGACTGACCACCTTGCCAACTGAGGGACTGACTACTTCCCAAACCTGAGGGACTGACTATCTTGCCAACGGGGGGGACTGACCACCTTCCCAAACTGAGGGACTGACTATCTTGCCTACTGAGGGACTGACCATCTTGCCAACTGAGGGACTGACTATCTTGCCTACTGAGGGACTGACCATCTTGCCAACTGAGGGACTGACCATCTTGACAACTGAGGGACTGACCATCTTGACAACTGAGGGACTGACCATCTTGACAACTGAGGGAAACTGCTATCTTGACAATGAGGGATGACCATCTTGACAACTGAGGGACTAACCATCTTGACAACTGAGGGACTGACCATCTTGACAACTGATGGACTAACCATCTTGACAACTAAGGGACTGACCATCTTGACAATTAAGGGACTGACCATCTTGACAACTAAGGGACCGACCATCTTGACAACTAAGGGACTGACCGTCTTGACAACAAAGGGGACTGACATCTTGACAACTGAGGACTGACCATTTTTGACAACTGAGGGACTGACCATCTTGACAACTGAAGGCTGACCATCTTGACAACTGAGGGACTGCCATTTTTGACAACTGAGGGACTGACCATCTTGAAAACTGAGGGACGGGACCATTTGACAACAAAGGGGACTGACCATCTGACAACTGGAGGGACTGACCATCTTGACAACTGAGGGACTGACCATCTTGACAACTAAGGGACTGACCATCTTGACAACTAAGGGACTGACCATCTTGACAACTGAGGGACTGACCATCTTGACAACTGAGGGACTAACCATCTTGACAACTGAGGGACTGACCATCTTGACAACTGAGGGACTGACCATCTTGACAACTGAGGGACTGACCATCTTGACAACTGAGGGACTGACCATCTTGACAACTGAGGGACTGACCATCTTGACAACTGAAGGACTGACCATCTTGACAACTGAAGGACTGACCATCTTGACAACTGAGGGACTGACCATCTTGACAACTGAGGGACTGACCATCTTCAGTACTAAGGGACTGACCATCTTCAGTACTAAGGGACTGACCATCTTCAGTACTAAGGGACTGACCATCTTGACAACTGAGGGACTGACCATCTTGACAACTGAGGGACTGACCATCTTGACAACTGAGGGACTGACCATCTTCAGTACTAAGGGATTGACCATCTTCAGTACTAAGGGACTGACCATCTTGACAACTAAGGAACTGACCATCTTCAGTAAAAAGGGGACTGACCATCTTAAAGTACAAAGGGGACTGACCATCTTCAGTACTAAGGGACTGACCATCTTCAGTACTAAGGGACTGACCATCTTCAGTACTAAGGGACTGACCATCTTCAGTACTAAGGGACTGACCATCTTCAGTACAAAGGGACGCCCATCTTCAGTACTAAGGGACTGACCATCTTCAGTACTAAGGGACTGACCATCTTCAGCACTAAGGGACTGACCATCTTCAGTACTAAGGGACTGACCATCTTCAGTACTAAGGGACTGACCATCTTCAGTACTAAGGCGACCCATCTTCAGAAACTAAGGACTGACCATCTTCAGCACTAAGGGACTAACCATTTTCAGTACTAAGGGACTGACCATCTTCATACAAGGGACTGACCTCTTCACACAAAGGGGAAACTGACCATCTTCAGTACTAAGGGACTGACCATCTTCAGTACTAAGGGACTGACCATCTTCAGTACTAAGGGACTGACCATCTTCAGTACTAAGGGACTGACCATCTTCAGTACTAAGGGACTGACCATCTTCAGTACTAAGAATGACCATCTTCAGTACTAAGGGACTGACCATCTTCAGTACTAAGGACTGACCATCTCAGTACTTTAAGGAACTGACCATCTTCAGTACTAAGGGACTGACCATCTTCAGTACTAAGGGACTGACCATCTTCAGTACTAAGGGACTGACCATCTTCAGTACTAAGGGACTGACCATCTTCAGTACTAAGGGACTGACCATCTTCAGTACTAAGGGACTGACCATCTTCAGTACTAAGTGACTGACCATCTTCAGTACTAAGGGACTGACCATCTTCAGTACTAAGGGACTGACCATCTTCAGTACTAAGGACTGACCATCTTCAGTACTAAGGGACTGACCATCTTCAGAAACAAAGGGGGACTGACCATCTTCAGTACTAAGGGACTGACCATCTTCAGTACTAAGTGACTGACCATCTTCAGTACTAAGGGACTGACCATCTTCAGTACAGGGCTGCCCAAACTTCAGTCTAAGGGACTGACCATCTTCAGTACTAGGGACTGACCATCTTCAGTACTAAGGGACTGACCATCTTCAGTACTAAGGGACTGACCATCTTCAGTACTAAGGGACTGACCATCTTCAGTACTAAGTGACTGACCATCTTCAGTACTAAGTGATGAACCATCTTCAGTACTAAGTGCCCTGACCATTTCAGTACAAAGGGGACTGACCTTCTTCGTACAAAGTGACTGACCATCTTCAGTACTAAGGGACTGACCATCTTCAGTACTAAGTGACGACCCATCTTCAGTACTAAGTGACTGACCATCTTCAGTACTAAGGGACTGACCATCTTCAGTACTAAGAGACTGACCATCTTCAGTACTAAGTGACTGACCATCTTCCAGTACAAAGGGGACGGGACCATCTTCGTACTAATGACTGACCATCTTCAGTACTAAGGGACTGACCATCTTCAGTACTAAGGGACTGACCATCTTCAGTACTAAGGGACTGACCATCTTCAGTACTAAGGGACTTACCATCTTCTTTACTAAGTAAATGACCATCTTCAGTACTAAGAGACTGACCATCTTCAGTAAAAGGGACTGACCTTCAGTACTAAGGGACTGACCATCTTCAGTACTAAGGGAACGTGACCATCTTCAGTACTAAGGGACTGACCATCTTCAGTACTAAGGGACTGACCATCTTCAGTACTAAGGGACTGACGATCTCTCAGTGTATATATACATACAAACACAGATCAAGAAAGTCATGTCCTCTCACCTCTTCCTCTTCGTCCATGGCTTTATTTCTCTCTCTTTTATTAATCTTTCTCCCTCTGTTTTTCTCTGTTAATCTCCGTTTTATCCTGTTCAACTTCCCCGTTCTTCTGCTTTTGTTGTTCCGTTAATTTCTGTTCTTCTGTTCTTCAAGATTCGGAGTCACAGTTCACAACTTGGTCGAGAATATCTGTCAGGTGCTGGATCAACCAGGCTGTTGTGGCTACGTGGCCCGCTACGTGTGGGCCACCTAACCACTAACACCAACAACTTGCTTGATTATCGTCAAAATCTGTTTGTATCAAATATAATTTATATTTTTCTGTTTATATAAAAATACATTTATATAATTGTGTTGTTTCTGCAGTTTTTACATATAAATTTTCTCTGTTATTTTAAAATAATTCAAAATTATCCGATAAGGAGCCAGAAGAAAGTTGTAAACATTCCCAAACATCCTCAGACATTCCCAAACATCTTCAGACATCCCCAAACATCTTCAGACATTCCCAAACATCTTCAGACATCCCCAAACATCTTCAGACATTCCCAAACATCTTCAGACATTCCCAAACACCTTCAGACATCCCAAAAATCTTCAGACATTCCCCAAAAAACTTCAGACATTCCCAAACATCTTCAGACATTCCCAAACATCTTCAGACATTCCCAAACATCTTCAAACATTCCCAAACATCTTCAGACATTCCCAAACATCTTCAAACATTCCCAAACATCTTCAAACATTCCCAAACATCTTCAAACATTCCCAAACATCTTCAGACATTCCCAAACATCTTCAAACATTCCCAAACATCTTCAGACATTCCCAAAAAATCTTCAAAAAATTCCCAAACATCTTCAGACATTCCCCAAAAATCTTTCAAACATTCCCCAACATCTTCAGACATTCCCAAACATCTTCAGACATTCCCCAAAAATCTTCAAACATTCCCAAACAAACTTCAGACATTCCCAAACATCTTCAGACATTCCCAAACATCTTCAGACATTCCCAAACATCTTCAGACATTCCCAAACATCTTCAAACATTCCCAAACATCTTCAAAAATTCCCCAAAAATCTTCAGACATTCCCAAACATCTTCAGACATTCCCAAACATCTTCAGACATTCCCAAACATCTTCAGACATTCCAAACATCTTCAGAATTCCCAAACATCTTCAGACATTCCCCAAACATCTTCAGACATTCCCAAACATCTTCAGACATTCCCAAACATCTTCAGACATTCCCAAACATCTTCAGACATTCCCAAACATCTTCAGACATTTCCAAACATCTTTAGACATTCTCAAACATCTTCAGGCATTCCCAAACATCCTCAGACATTCCCCAAAAATCCTCAGACATTCCCAAAAATCTTCAGACATTCCCAAACATCTTCAAAATCCCAAACATCTTCAAACATTCCCAAACATCTTCAGACATTCCCAAACATCTTCAGGGCATTCCCAACATCTTCAGACATTCCCAAACATCTTCAGACATTCCCAAACATCTTCAAACATTCCCAAACATCTTCAGACATTCCCAAACATCTTCAGACATTCCCAAACATCTTCAAACATTCCCAAACATCTTCAGACATTCCCAAACATCTTCAAACATTCCCAAACATCTTCAGACATTCCCAAACATCTTCAAACATCTTCAAACATTCCCAAACATCTTCAGACATTCCCCAAACATCTTCAAACATTCCCAAACATCTTCAGACATTCCCCAAAAATCTTCAGACATTCCCCAAAAATCTTCAGACATTCCCAAACATCTTCAGGCATTCCCAAACATCCTCAGACATTCCCAAACATCCTCAGACATTCCCAAACATCTTCAAACATTCCCAAACATCTTCAAACATTCCCAAACATTTTACAGACATTTGAAAATCATGCAGAATATTTTCAGAACTGTGAAAGAGATTAAGATGTCACAGGGAGCTCACAAAGGTCTTCCTTGAGCTTTGAGCTTTACCACAAAGCTCACTTCACGTCACACAAGACAAAGAGCTGACAGCTGGGTCACAATACAGCTCTTGGACCTTTCGACTTGCCTCATGCAAAGAGAGATAGCTGCCAAGTGGATTAAAATGTAGCTGTTAGACCCTTCGTTTCGCGTCATGAGAGAGATTGCTCACATTTGGCTTATAGCTCTTGGGCCGTTCACTCGCATCCCACAAGTTAGTTATACTATAGTTCCTTGGAGAAGTGTGAACAGATATATTGCTTTCTGTTTGCCAGTGGTGGTAGTGATGGTGGTGGTGCTCTTATCTTACACTCCCTCCCCCCCCATATCCCCACCATTATCTCCATCAAACCTCCCCCCCTTCTTCTCTCATCTCCCTCCCCTCCCACGTGTCCTATTTCTCCTGGGCTCACACATTTCCTCCCTACTTCCTACCCTCCCTTCTTTCTTTCTCTTTTTAATTCTTCATCCCGTCTCTCTATCTATCTATATATCTACCTCCCTTTATTCCTCTTTCCATCGCTGCACAAGATAACAGAGCCACGATATCTTGACTTATCTCTGTGACATCACACACGGGGGGGGATAGCAGGGAGTTATGTACACTTATACTCGGCTTTCCTAGATAAAACTCTCTCTCTCTCTCTCTCTCTCTCTCTCTCTCTCTCTCTCTCTCTCTCTCTCTCTCTCCTCTCTCTCTCTACTCTCTCTCTCTCTCTCTCTCTCGCCCAACAAGTCCCTGGGGAGGGATTTAACCCCATCCCTCCTCTTCTCCTGGGATTAACCGGGATTGCCTGATAGGAGATTTATCTTCGAATTACTGATGGAATCTGCGACTGTAATTAACTTATTTAAGGCCTAAACAAGCTTGATCTGGGGCATGTATGTGTGTGTGTGTGTGTGTGTGTGTGTGTGTGTGTGTGTGTGTGTGTGTGTGTATGTATGTGTGTGTACTCACCTAATTGTACTCACCTAATTGTGGTTGCAGGGGTCGAGACTCAGCTCCTGGCCCCGCCTCTTCACTGATCGCTACTGGATCCTCTCTCTCTGCTTCCTGAGCTTTGTCATACCTCTTCTTAAAACTATGTATGGTTCCTGCCTCCACTACTTCACTTGCTAGGCTATTCCACTTGCTGACAACTCTATGACTGAAGAAAGACTTCCTAACGTCCCTCTGACTCGTCTGAGTCTTCAGCTTCCAGTTGTGACCCTTGTCCCTGTGTCCTCTCTCTGGAACATCCTATCTCTGTCCACCTTGTCTATTCCCGCAATATCTTGTATGTCGTTATCATGTCTCCCCTGACCCTTCTGTCCTCCAGTGTCGTCAGTCCGATTTCCCTTAACCTTTCCTCGTACGACATTCCCTTGAGCTCTGGGACTAGCCTTGTTGCAAACCTTTGTACTTTCTCTAACTTCTTGACGTGCTTGACCAGGTGTGTGTGTGTGTGTGTGTGTGTGTGTGTGTGTGTGTGTGTGTGTGTGTGTGTGTGTGTGTGTGTATGTGTGTGTGTGTGTATGTGTGTGTATGTGTGTGTATGTGTGTGTGTATGTGTGTGTGTATGTGTGTGTATGTGTGTGTGTATGTATGTGTATGTATTTTGTGTATTGTGAAATTTTGGGGTGTGTGTGTGTGTGGGAAACTCCCCAAATTGCACTCCATAATTGGGGTTTTGCGGGGGTCGAGACTCAGCCCCTTTGGCCCCCGCCCCCTTCATGATCGCTACTGGACCCCCCTCTCCTCTCTGTTCCTGGTTTTGTCTTTCCTCTTCTTTAAAACCCAAAGGGAAATTGGTTTCCTGCCTCCCCAAACTTCACTTGAAGGCTTTTTCCTTTTCCCTAAACTTATGACTGAAGAAAAAATTTCCCTTTAACGCCCCTTTGCCCCGTCGGGAGTTTCGTTTTCCATTGTGCCCCCTTGCCCCTGTGTCCCCTCTTTTGGAACATCCAATCTCTGCCCCACCTTGCTTTTCCCCCCGCGGTATTTTGTATGTCTTTTATCTTGTCCCCCCTGACCCTTCTGTCCTCCGTGTCGTCAGTCCGTTTTTCCCCCTTAAACCCTTTTCCCTGTAGGGAAAACCCCCTTGAGCTCTGGGACTGCCTTTTTGAAAACCCTTTTGGGACTTTCTCTAACTTCTTGAGTGCTTAAAGGTGGGGGTTCCCGGGAATGGTGCTGCAAACCCCAGTATGGGTCTAACATACACATGTACAGTGTTTTTAAAACGTTTTCCTTATTAAGGTATCGGAACGTTATTCTGGGTTTCCCAGGCGCCCGTAGGGCTGCAGCGGTTTTTTGGTTAAATTGGGGTGCCCCCGGTGATGTGCTCGGTTTTAAAGGTCCCCCAAGGTTTTCCCCCTGATGAGGTCTTAGTTTTGTCCACCTACCCAAATATTTGTCTGGGGTTTTTCTTTGCCCCTCCCCAATCTTCTTTACTTTGCTTTTGGGCGGGATTGAATTCGAGGAGCCAGTTACGGGCCCCAAAAGGGCCCCACCCTCCCCCAGGTTCTTTCCCAGTCCTGCCTCATCCTCGCCCCCGATTTAATTCTTCTCATCAACTTTCACGTCATCTGCGAACGGGGACATTTCAGATTCATTCCTTCCATAAAGTCGTTCAAAATTTACCCAAAAATACCCCTTTGGGTCCTAGAATGACCCCTGTGGACCCCGCTGTAACGGCCCCACTGTGTTACCTCTTCCGTACCATGCTCGTTGCTGCCTCCCTGTCAGGAAACCCCTTTTTCCATTGCAGTCCCCTTTCCCTTTTTTTACGGGGTCCCTGTTCCTCCATTTTTCTGCACTAATTCTCTTGGGGGGGAAACTGTGTAAAAGGCCTTTCCCTGAAATTTTAGGAAAACGAATTTAAACCCAAACCCCCTCCTGTGTCTTCCTTCTTTCCCCTTGTCAAAAAAACTCCAGGGGGTTTTGTGATACAAGATTTCCCTTTCCCAATAAAACCCTTTGTTTGGTTTTCTTTAAATAACCTTTTTCCCTTTTCCAAGTTTTCCCCCCCAAACTTCCTCCTGATAATCTTCTCCAAAAACTTTGCCAAAAATACATGTAAGTGACACAGGTCGGGTTGTTTGTGCCTCGTTTTTTTTCCCTTTTTAAAATAGGGGGACTAAAATTAGCTGTCCTTCCATTTCTCAGGTAGTTCCCCAATTTTTCAAGGGATGTTTTTAAGTTTGGGGGGTTAGAGGCACACCAGCACCCTCTGTCCTTTTTCAAAAAGGACCCTTGGGGAGATGTTGTCCGGCCCCATCCCCTTTTGAAGTGTCAAGGTCACTTAAACCCTTCTTCACCCCCTCCTAAGTTGTTCGTATGTCACCCAAAACACTTGTTGGAATTTTCCCCTTTTGGGTTGTTCCCTTCTGTTGTCTTCCCAACCCCTTCCTGTCTCTACTTTTAAAAATTCCCTTTAAAAATTCCTGTTCACCCTCCTCCTCCCTCCTGATAAATTTCTTGTGAGTTCTCCCCCTTCTGCCCTTTAAATCTGATCACCTGGGTTTCCTTTGCCCTGTTGCCCCCCCTCCTGTTGTGGCTATACAAAAAAATTTGGGGTCAGTCTTGATTCTCGATGCAAATGCCCATTTTCATACGTCGCTGGGTCCCCCTTACCTGGGGGGCCCCATTCCTGGTTGCAAATATCTCCCTTTTTTTCGTGTGTTTTTCCCTTCGGGTACTTTTTTTTTTTCCTATTGCACTTTTTTTTTGGGCCTCCTTACCCTTTGGGGGAAAAACCCGGGGGCCCTTTGTTCGGGTCTTCCTTTTGTTACGTTCCCCTTTTTGGGGAATAAAACCTTTCCACTGCCCCCTTTGCTTTTGTTTCTACAATTCCATCATTTAAATTTTACTGGCTTTCCTGCCAGTTCTCTGCCCCAACTGGACCCCCGCAGGAAGTTTTTTCAACCCTATGTACCCCCTTTTTTTAGTCGGGCTTTTCCCATTCCACCCCTGTTATTCTCCCCCACTTGCAGCCACTATTTTTTCAAAGCACAAAACCACGTGGTCCCCTAGCTCCTGGGGGACTCTAAAATTGTGTCCTAAATGTCTGAGCCCCCAGGGGGGAACACAAGGTCCAATTTTGCGGGTTCATCCCCCCCTTTCCCAACTCGGGTAGTGCCCTTAAAATGTTGGTCTTGAGGTTTTCCACACCAGGGGGCCCCAACACCCGGGCTCTCCATTTTTCCCGGGACCCCCATGTGGCTCCGGGTTTTTTCCCAGTCAATTTCCCTGGGTTAAAACCCCCCCATAACCAAAATTTTGCTTTCCCTGGAGTGAGCTCTTCTTGCCACCTCACAAGTGGGTCCACCATTGCTCTTTTGCTCCCCTTAATTCCCTCTGGCCCCCTGAGTTCTGTGGTGGTTTATACATCACTGCAATGCCCACTTTGTGTTCCCCAGAAAAAAGTGTCCCTTGCTAGGTAGTCTTTTTCCCCGGGCCCCAATCTTTTCCCTTTCCATTTTCTCAAATTTTTCCATCTGTTTTTTACGGCAGAAAACCCCCAAACCCCCCCCCCTCCCCCTTCTATTTTTCCTCATGATCTGGTATCCTGGGGGGAAGATTGAAATCTGTTTTTTGTCCCCAATGAGTTTTGTTTCTGTAACGGGTATGATGTCGGGGGCCCTTCTCTTTTTTTTCCCTTTCTTGCCTTTCCTCATTTTTTATTCTTTAAATTCCATCTGTTTTGTGAAACCAAACCTCCACTTTGTTCAAAATACTTTTAACTGGGTGCGGGGGGGGGAAACAGGGGGGAATCGGTGTTTGAGGGTTTGGGTTTGGAATGTTTTTTTTGCCTTTGGGGGTGTCGTGGCGGGAGCCCTTTTCCTCAGGTTTTTTTGGGGGGTGCGTTTGCCCTTTTCCATTTAAATCCGGGGTTTATTCTCCTCCTTTTTCATTTCCTCCTTTTTCTCCTTTCGTTTTTGAACCCTTTTCTTTCATTGTTTTTTCCTTTCGTTGTGTTCTGCCCGGGGTCGAGGTACAAAACCCCGGGAACTCCTGTTTGTCTCACCCGGTTTTTCCCTTTGCAGGATATGGTTGGGTTGATTCGCCTTTAAAAAATTACTTTGAGAGGGCGTTTTTCCTTTTCTTTGTGAACCACCCAAAATTCCCCCGAAAATTTGCCCCGGGGGTCATGCCCCCCCGGGCCAATCATTTTCATGATGTCTTCAATGGGTTTTTTTCCCCTCCTGCTTTTTTTCATCAAAATTTTCCCCCTTTAGTTCGTCTACCCATAGACAAAAAAGGAAATCTCCCCTTTTTCCAACCTCCCACGGACTCCCATTGCATCCTCTGATGTGTTTTAGTTT